TCGTGACAACATTGGGAGAAGTACGTCTAGGCAAAAGCGCAATTATGATTTGCGTACATCAGTCAACAACTATGAAGTCGGCGACCTAGTCTACCGTCTAGACTCCACTAGGCACAAGGGCCTATCTCCTAAACTTAAAAGTGCACGATGGATAGGCCCCTGTGTAATCACGAGAAAGCTAAGTGAATTAATATTTGAAATTCGCAGTAGCCCGAGAGGAAAAACGACGTTTCTTCATCACGATAGACTCAAACCCTTCCTTTCAGCCAACGTGCCATCATGGGCCCGAGAACTATCCCAACATGCACGAAATGTTTTTACTACTAGGAATCAACGACAGGCTGGAACACAGACTAATCCCAAGGACGGCATCGAACTGAGGAGGAGCGGCCGAAGGCCAAGACCGCCCGTCCGGCTTAGTTTATAAACAACGGATCTGGCCATCATCGGTTTTGGCATATCTCGTCATTCCATGCCAATAACTTCAACAAGACGAGACGCCTGCTGTTCACTCCTATATTTCTACAATGGCTTACCACCCTTCATATTTGACAATGGGGATGAATAACTGTGATGGGAATATGGACAGCGGGTTTGCATCTCCATCGACACCCATTGTCGATGAGAGGGCCTACTCTCCGGTATCGGCGGCGGGTGATGAGGCCATCCGCAAGTTGCCGAATGATGAATTCAAGACATGCTACCCAGGGGTTCATCTTCACCCACACGCCCCTACCAAGAGACACCACGCCAGGGACGGCAGGGAGGAAGCGCCAGAAGGAGGAGCCCCGAACTAGCAGTGATGTCGACAGGGTCCTGGTCGCCATGGCAGCCATGGAGAGGAGAATCTCCACCGAGGTGAGCTCGCTTCGGGAGGAGGTGAAATCACTGCAACATTCGGTGGAGCAGCTTTGCCACCAAACCGAACTGAACAGCGGCGAGGCCCGTACTTTTACGGAGCATGTCCAACTGGACATCGTGAAAGGTGTGAACCATTTGTCGGGACTCATCCAATTAAGGCAGGAGAAGATTCACAAAGCATCGTTTATCTTGCAGGATTTGTTGACAGCTCCTCGGCCCTCTCCATAATTAGTCTCTTAACTGTGCCATTTATTTGGATATTACTGTTCCGGATTATTTTCATCAAATGTTTCACTCTCTGTCCCTTTTCTTCTTCTTCTGTTGTTCGATGGAGATTAATCATTCAACCTATTAAGGCGTCCAGCATGACATGGTCATTTATTTTGAAATTGGTGTGTTGAGCCAATTGTATAATGTGTTTAACATGTACCTGCTCTTCGTTCACGAAAAAGGAAGCGTTCGTACTTCAGGATTTATCATAGATACGAGGAAATATACTGCATGACCAGTCGACGATTTCAAAGGGAAACCGAGTGTCTTTTTATTTATTTTTGACGGTTGCTGCATTGGGTGCCAGCCTCAGAAGGGGAGCACAGCAATGGCAACAAGAGGACGCAGTGCATGGCCATTTATTTAGTAGCAATAGTTTCGTATGTGTAGGGCCAATTTATTTTTGTTCATTTTATTTGTCGAGAGCATCGGTGTGGAAAACGGAGGCAGAGAGTCATCATTTGGATAGCGTTAGAGATCTCGGCATCGTATTAGTTTTGTTGGCGAATTTTTTGTGTATGCGTCGGAGAGAATGAGAAATCATTATATCAGTTTGGAAACCACGGGCCCGGCCCCCCCACTCAGTGTTATTTAGGGTACGCATATGCTCGTACCCTCTTTTTGAAAGCACCCCCTATCTGAGGACTGCCAACATTTCCGAACCCCCCTATCGCGGGCTTTTCGCGGGCTTTTCCTGCCTTGGAGACCCCCCTAAATCAGGAAAAATGCTCAATGTACCCCCTAAATTCGGAATAATTTCTCAGGAATCCAAAGAGATGAGAGAAAAAAAGAAAAACACCCCCTTTTTAAAGAAAACTCCGGGTGAAAAGTCAAATACACCCCTTTTTTTACAATTCTCGGGCCGGACTTTGTCGCACGAAAAGTACCCCTTTACCGGACATTTTGGCAACACGCATGCGGTCATTCCGACCTCTGAGTGGGGGGGCCGGGACCACGGGACAACCTCGAAGATATCGGAGCAACGTCAATCATTCATGTCCATGATATTGCGCCATGTAGAAGTGGAGGACCCGCCGTAGATACTTGATTGTCAATTTGTCATGTGTTGGGAATATTGCGAAGTCGACATGCTGAGTCAATGCTGTTACGTGATCCTTATGGAATATCCTAAAGTTATTCTTATTTCTGATTGAGTTATCTGAATTCAGTATAGAGGCGAGTTTACACAACCACGAGCTTTATCATGTTTATGGAAGCAGAATTATCATTACAAATTTCCCGAATATAATGGAATATCAATGTGAAGCCAGGATTCCTACACAGAGTCACTCTCGCTTAAACTTAAATCAGCAGGACAAGACATCGGTCCTCGTTGACAGATCTGGACATTTATTCTAAAATTTCAAGATAAACTGGGACTATTTGATCATAGATCGAGGAGACTTTGATAGAGAACTCTGTTGTCCGAATGAAGATTGCGCGATTCTTTTACCGAACTTTGTTTCATTGTTGAAACTGTTGTTTTGAATCTATTTTGTACATGTTATCAGTTGTATATTGCATTTGCATTCTCTTCTCTTGTTCCTCTCTCCATCTATTTCCCTATCACTATGTCTTCTCTATTACCTCTCCTTATTTCTAACCCTCGGCAACAATATGCCTCCCTTTATACCTCTCGATCCTTATAATTATCTTTCTTCTCTTGTTCCTCTCTCCATCTATTTCCCTATCACTATGTCTTCTCTATTTTTCTGTTACATATTTCTATGATGTGATTGAGATGTTTTAATCTTTTAATCGATTTTTGTGCATATAATTGAAACTCAATTCGTTAGCGGCCGCGTAGCCGTTATCTTGGGAACGTATTTTTGTGTGTTAAGTTTAGCACCCCTCGTTCACTGATATTCTTTTCGGCCTGTACGTCTTGATATCCGAAACCGTCATATTGCTGCTAGAGGCATGGTGATGAGTAATCACAATGATCGCGTTTTTTCGGATCGCGTGCTGCATTTCTGCTGACCAAGAGTGGAAAAAAAAAGAAAAAAAAAAAAAAATCGGACACGTGGCCACTAAATTTGCTTCGCCAAAAAAAAAAAAAAAAAAAAAAAAAAAAATGATACTGTTGAAGCGGCTTTCATTCTGCTGCTTCAGCAAATCTTGACTAAAAAAGATGTCAGTGTACGAGTCGGTTAATTGTCAATAATTTTACAGCATTTCAGTAGCTTTTGTTTTTGCTATTTGTTGTTTTCAATTTCATATATCTTATTGCAACCTGAACGATTATGTAAATAATTAGGTCTGCTTTGACGTTGTATTTCTAGTATTATATTAGTTCTCCTCGACTTTTCGACAGTTACTTGCGTTGTATTATAGTAACCTGTAAGGGATACTTTTTTATGTCTTACATAGATTTTCGTTTTACTTTATAAGGTCGTGGCTTCATGACCCCGAATCTTATGTCAAACTCACCAAAACTTTTGAAAACTAGATTACACTGTACCAAGCGATTAAGACTGTGCTGGTTTCTATCACAATGTTACGTATGGGTAGACAAACATATATGCCGTTTTGAAATTTACACATGTCGTCTGTTAAAGTGCTAATTAGGCAACTTCTGCAACGTGCTTTTATTTTGACCAAGTTTTCAGATTCAGATTTGATGTTTGCTATCCCTCATTCGCTTCATTACACGATATGTCAGGATTTTTTTCCCCTTTAAATTCGTTATATACATTGTAGTGCAAATCTTTTGGTTTAACATGACTGTAATTCTTTTTTTTTTATCAATCACTGAGGACAGTGACTTTTTAAGGAGAGGGGGAATAGTGTTACGAATTTAGATATATGCCTGTATCATGTGCATAGTCCATTATTATTTCGCTACAATATTATTGCTTGCTGTGCAAGTCAAACTTGTCCTTCGGTAGATTTACGACGTTGTTTTTCGTCCTCGAGTAATTCTTGCAGTTCGATTGCGTAAGCCCAGGGCCACGCTCGTCTAGAGAATCTGTCCTCGTCTTACGTAACGGCAAGGACAGATACTCAGTCGCGTGCGGCCTCCGACTGACCCCGAGCGGAGGCCAGACTTTGTCCTCAGTTTGAGGACAGACTCTGCCCTTTAGCTCGAGGTCGGGTTGTGTCCTTGCTGCTACAAAACAGCTCCCTATATAAAGCCAGGGATTCTAAAATCGAGAGTTCGGACTGACTTCTTGAGACTTCTCCTCGTACTCCTTTCTGCCGTTTTTCGTAATTCACTGAACCTGACTGTATACCAAGTTGTCATTATTTGAAGTAATAAACATCGAATGGAACTGAAACTCACGAATACTCCATTTCTTCTGTTGAATTTATATTGCATACACGCATGAGCTCGAGTGAGAGAGATATTGAGCGAGAACTGAACGAGAGCAGTCTGAATTAAACACTTGTAATCAAATTTCGTTACAATACTAACACGAAAAAGCCAACAAAGTTGTCGAATAATTATATTTAAGCCGTCTTTGAACCAAATTTGAACAAACAAAGGAATTTTGTCATTTAAATTATTATGCTCTTTCAACTTTCCTTTTAAGCACAAACTGATGGATACATACTTTTGACAAAGAAAGGTACAATCAATATCCTAGCATATACTGGAGGTGCCTCTATTTATCAGGAAATCCTTTCTTGCCATTTAGGTCTGTCCTGAGATATATTTGGGTATTTCAAATGTTGCAACATGTAACATGATATGTTTCTACTTCTAGTTATGAAGGTAGAATGTATCAGTCAATTCATTTTAAAGAACAAAATGTCAACGAAATGAAGAACAAGCAGGACCTATTCTATATGAACAGTAAAAGAAAATTCTTCAAAATTGATGAAATTATATTTACCTAATCTTTTATCCTACTTTTCGATCTTGACAGGGTGATAGCGGGGGACCTCTGGCGTGTGAAGGCGCTGATGGCCGATGGCATCTTGTTGGCATTACGAGCTATGGGACGGGTTGTGGTGATCCTGGGTTCCCTGGAGTCTACACACGTGTATCCTCCTTCCTCGATTTCATTGAAGATACCATCTCGCCCCCATCTTGAGTACATGGATTAGGGTAGGCTGGGTAGCAGTACAGACATTGAATTGGTGGCTTTAAATACTAAGTGTAGACTACAGAAAATATAGAAGAAGAATATATAGAATAGAATGGAATAGTCTATTCTATTCTATTCTATACAAAATTATATTCTATTCTAAGAATAGAATATAATTTTATTGTCTTCTTCCGAAGAATGAAGAAACTTTCCTTCCAAGTGATACATATACATAAACATTTCATAACTTATACAAAATTTATTATATAAATACAATCATACCAAAATATTCAAATGCATACAAAATTCCCTTTCTAAAGGAGTTAAGACAACTTGTGATAAAAATTATGATCGTCGCTTGTTACCACTATTACGCAACATTTCTTTCTCAAGTTCGATGGGTGCCAGTGTGTTCTATAATTATAAAAGGAATCCGAACGCCATTTGTTTACAGAAAATAGGACATTCATGTCATAACTCTTGTTATGCACATGATAAAGGAACTGTAGAAATGGCCTACATTCAAAGCATCATCTATAAAGATATTTAAACTTTATCTGAATAGTTTGATCCATTACCCTTTATTCACTACATCACAATGAATGTGCCATTATTACCATTATTTTGTGTGAATTTAACGAATTTCGTATATATATATATATATATGCCGTAATGGATGAAGGCCTTTAAGATTTGTTCGACTTATTTTTGGATTAATTCCTAAACTCAATTGTTTGTATTAGCGATTGAAATGTTTATGGTCTTCTTCAACAATATTAATTGATATATATAAAGCGCCTGATATAATTATATGAGATATAAAAAAATATATGGTATTTAAATCCATATATTTTGTGTAGACCTATCTGTAATTGTTATAGTTATACTGAAAGTAAAGACAGGTACCTGTATACACATGTAACAATATATTGATTAGTCTTACTGCATGGTTATACCAATAATTAATATTGCAGAAAGGTTCCAGCAGCAACACTACACTGCTTAAATAATTCATTTCTTTTTGTACAGATGTGCCATACCTACTTGGTTTATGGTAGAACAGTGTACTCGTAATTTTAATACCAAAATAACAAATAATGAAAGACAATGCTTCCATTATTGCTGTAGTCAAAGTTTTGACAATATTTAAGAATTAAAGTACAGACGATAAATAATTCTTCTAATTCTATAATCTACTTAATTTTTCTTATCACTCAGTTACCGTATTTATAATATGATTGAATTAAATCTTTAATTGAACAAAAATGTAATAAGTGTGTAAAAAAATTGACTAATTCGACTATAGGAACACCTGTATATATCGCCCTAAGATATGTTTTAAAATGTTGCCGAACATTTCTCAAATAGCATTCGCTGTATCTCAGTTTGATAATGCATACATTCAGAATGATCAACTTAAACAGGCAAAGTGGATTAACTGTTAAATAAAATGGTATTGAATTGAATTATTAGTTTCATAATCCTGATTTTTTTTTTCTTGTACCGAATCGTTCATTAAACCAATAATTAGTGCAATAGAAAATAAATCTTTCAAGGGGTAGTTAAAAATTCCTAGGAAATCTCTGTTTTGTTTGCCCGTCAACTCTCGACGCAACTATATGTATATTCTTTTGTAAGGAACTAAAATAGAAACATAAAAGCATTAAAACGTTACTTCTTATCACAAACTGTACAGTATATGTATTTTTCTAATGGAAAAATTAGTTTTTAAATGTTCCTCAATGATCTTGTTTGAAAATATTACTATTAAGATATGTTTTATATTAGAAAATGCATCTAGATCTTGTTTGCGTATAATCTTCGTCTATATTCACTACGTGGTGCCAATTTATTATGCTAAGTATATACTGGTGATGGGATTCCCCTGTATTGTTAAGTGTTTATCATGATGAAATCTCTAACGGAAAAGTACCAGTGCAGGTATGACTTTTTAAATCAAATTTTATAGCTGAGTTCTGTAACGTTATTCAACGTAAAGATTACCAATTTCGTAAGTGTAAACAAAATTTAAAAAATATTTGTAATTTCATGACTTATACATGTGTAAATTTATCAATGCTAATTCTTACGTCTTTCTGAAATCGGTAAAAATTGTGTCTTTCATTTGGATATGTGTATAGAAAGTTGTCTTTCATGAATAATGTGTTTTTCCAATGGTTTGTGAAAATTGTTTTATATTACCGAAGCTCTTGAACGTTAGTTCTCTTTTCTTTTTATTGGAAAATGTAATTGTTTACTTTTTCATGGTGCGTCTCATTTCAACCCTTTTTTTAAAATCCCTGCACATTACCACACACAAAAAAAAACCTCTTTTGGCGTATGAAATGTTCGCGAAGCAGTGGTTTTAAGATTCGCGACAAGTTCCACGCCGCGAAACTGTGAATCACAATTGATATAAGACTGAATATTTACGATTCGTGAATTAAGTTTTTCGCTGTGAAAATTTTCTGGTTTTATAAAATATGCTTCTCTTCTTTTCTCTAATGAATTGTACTTATTCCTTCTTTTCCGTTTCTGCTTCGATCATTGCATCGTTCTTTCAGCTGTTGTATGTTTTGTTTCCTTCTATCTGTTTATATAGTGCCGGATATACAGTGCGTCCCAGAAAAAACGAAACCGAGAATTATCGATGTTTTATCATAACTTAATCAAAATTATAATTGATAAATGACACATATTTGAAAAGATTAGATCCTCCTCTTTCATAGACGAACGACTTCATGCATGGCTGAATGTCAACGAAACGGAGTTAAGTCTATCGTCAATTTTGCTTGTCACTACTGCAGGCAGCCAGTGAAAACGAATTCGTTTGATAAAATTATGGAAATGCAAGCACTAATATTTAAACAAAAAGAACTTTGTCATTCCGTGCTCATTTTTCCTGATTGAGGTGTCATAATTATGAAAGGGAAGAAACTCAACTTTTTAGAAATGTGATTTTTCTCTTTGAAATTCAGATACCGTCCGCCAAATGACTTTTTGGTTTCCTCTCTTCAAATTCATTTTAATCACTCATGCATGAAATGTGCATTATATGAGTTGCATCAAATGAAAGAAGAGGATCTAAGCTTTCCAAATTATGTGTCATTTATTAATTATAAATGTGACTATGTTATGATAAATCATCGATAATTCTCGGTTCCTTTTTTTCTGGGACGCACTGTATAGTGTAACCATGGAACCTCCTTTTATATAAAGAACATAAATGTAGTTTTAACAAACTCGCATCATCATACTAGGGTGTTTGCTTGTCTGACTTCTTTTCTTTGTATTTGTAACCCCCCCCCCCCCCTCTCTCTCTCTCTCTCTCCCCTCTCTATTCTATATTGAAATCATCAGAATGATGTCCGAGGAGTTTGTGATAATGAAGTCCCATTGTATATTACTAGTAATAATTGTGAATCTCCTGATTATGTAATCATTCGTTCAGGTACATGTATATTCCTTAACAGTACTTATTCAAGGTCAATAAACCCGGTGTTTCCATCGGTATCAATTTTACGAGTAGCTGGAATGGGAAATATTTGAATCTGATTGTATTTGATCTCCGTATGTACTTTTGAAATTAGTCTTTTTACAGTATAGGTGTTTTCTTCATTGATATTTTCCCATCTTGTAACCTTACATAATTATAGTGCTCTATAATGATGGGTTTTATATTTCCCTACACATTTTGTCTTTCTTTACTTTATTATTTGTGTGAAAAAGAGAGAAATAATTTGTAAGTATTTTTTCGATGCACTTCTTAAGTCATTTTTCAAATTGTACATAAGGTGTTTACTGCAAAAGAGAAATTGAAGGGAGAGTGCGAAGCGAGAGAGAGTGAGAGAGGAATAGAGTGATTGATGGGGGGGGGGGGGAGAAACAAGAGATAGAGAAGAGAGAGAGTCCTTTAGTGGCATAGGCTCGTAAATAGTGAAAGGGGGGTTAATAATTAAAAAAAAAGTGATGAATGAAAGTGATGAAAAAAAGGGCCTCCTCCTTCCTTTTTTTTCAAAAAGGCAGGACGCTAAACACGTTTTTTTTTTATTTGGCATATTCGAATAACCTTAAATGGCCTTGCCCATCTTTTAATGGCATGCATAATTACCGTCACTTTCACTAACCATTGAGACATGGAAACGAGAGATGAATAATGAGTAATATTTGGACGTGTACTTACGGATGGAAAGGTCGGAAGCACTCATGTCTCCTTTTCAAAAAAGATATTTGTTTTGTAATATAGTATTTATATGATTAATGCTTAGAGGGACACGGTTTTAACTACAGACCATAGTGATATCTAAAAATGTACTGTGCTGCTAGATGAGGTTGAGATGCATAATTATAGTGCAGTCTCGAGATCACCGTGGAGCTAGAATTTTAACCGTTTCCCGAAATTCAGCAGCATAATATTCTTTGTGATTTTATATACCGCATATACTGTTTGTGTATTTTCACAATGGGATCATTTGACAAAATATACAGTTCAAATTTTATTTGAATACTTTGTGAGATTTACGAATCTAAAAGAAGTGGGCAATCCACTCTGTGCCTCCGTTTTTAATTGAATGCAGATTTATAATCGGTCATATTTATCGCTACACTGCCCAGCAGTCAATAGCGAATCTAATGCAGGCAGTTTTGACCACTTACAAGCCTAACTAGAGGCAGTAAATAATATGTCACTGATATTAACGATCAAAAGTTGCCTCTGAATCAGTGGCGTAACGTGCAAAAATGTTTGGGGGCCTAGAAAAAAAAATCCGCATTACCCCACTCATACATGCAGGCCCCGCTGAACGTTTTTCAAAGTGGGTGGGGGAGGCTAAAGTATTTACGATCAGGAAGAGCATACATAAAATGGCGTGGGGTCTAGGGGCTAAGCCCCGGCGGGGTCAAGGGGTAGAACGCCCGAAGCTCAGGGGGTATGGGCATTTAATTACGGTCAGATGATCATATTTTGATACCTTATTCATGACACGGGCAGGTCACTAATATGCGTGGGGTCCAGGGGGCTGAGCCCCATGAAACTCAGGGATTTGAGGCTTTTTATAACGGTCAGATAAGCATTCAGGGGCTGTCTTAGGCTCCCTGGTAACGTTGATGGGGCGGAGCCCCGGGAAGCTCAGGGGTTTTAGGCATTTAATTACAGTCAGATATGCTTAAGTTATTTTTGACACTGGCAGGACACTTATCAGGACACTTATTGGCGTGGGGTCTAGGGGGCGGAGCCCCCAAAAGTTAAGGGGTTTAGGCATTAAATTACCGTCAAAATGAGCATCCAGGGGCCGCCGCGCGACCTAAACTTGTCTTTCTCTGTCTCTCACTCTCGGTGTTGTACGTTATTTTGTCGGTAGTCGGTGGCCTCAACACCCCCCCCCCCCCCCCCCCCACTGAAAAAAGTCTAGCGACGCCCCTGATAACAAGACAGTTTATACACTCGATAATTTTTGCAAGCACTACTTGTGAGGTATCAGACCACCACCTTGTGCATTGTGCAGCAACGAAGCATATTATAATCTCGCGACGTGACATGCAGATCACTTTTCTCTACAGTTATAACTTCTAACCAATCAGAAGGCCAATCTCTCCAGGAAGTGCCGGTGGACATTAATGCGCCAGTTGTGGTTCTCAAATTGCAAACGATCCCTACTCATGGAGAGGGTAGGAGAAAGCAATTTTGCGTCAATTACTCCAGGAAGTGCCTGAAAATGCGCCTAATGTGGTTCTAAAATTGCAAAAGCTTCCTACTCTAGGTGGGGGTTCTGACCCCCTCCCAGACCCACTCCCGTTTGGTCGCTCCGCTCCGCCGCCGCTATGACGCCTCGCTCTATTGCTTCGCTCAATCGTTTGTCATATATTTCACCCAATGTGATTTTGTGCCCCCCCCCCCCCCCCCGGTAAGAAATTCCTGGATCCGACACTGAGACTTATTATAACTTTTGTAGAAAAAATGAAAGATTATTACATCAAAATGAGAATGGGAAATGCAAAATAAACTTTTACAAATTCAGTATAATGGCCTTTTTTATTTTTGTCATGAAACTGAAACAATCGAATATTATTTAATGGTTTGTAAGAAGTATGTAAGAGATAGGAAACGGTTGTTTTCAAGGTTAAACATTAAAGATAAGAGTTTAAAGAATTTACTGGGGAATGAGGATCATTCTGCACGCTCTCATTGTGTTGGCTTTCATAAAAGCCACAAATAGATACCACTCATTATTTTATTTAGGTCTAAACGCCAAAGTTATTCGCCTTCTCTCTCTCTCTCCTGGAGAGGAGGGGAGGGAATGTATAGTTTAGCACTGCACAGTTAACCTCTATTATTAATAAAATACTCGCACCCTGTTCATGGTCGACACCTAAATTATTGCCCGCACCATCAAGTGAACGGAAGCTAACGTGACGGAATCAATGTTTGCGCCAGAGGAAAAGAAACAGCGCCATCTGTCGGTAATCATCACTGATGAACTTACTCGAAAAACAGTATAGCCAGGCGGGAATAATCTTTTCAGATTGGACAGCCTTATGAACCCAACAACAACAACTAACCGGGGAGCTAATACAAGGAGTGGAATCAAGCCGCTCCTTTAACCCCATGCTTAAAGCCGTCGAAAAGTTATGCGCTCCTCCACAACAGTTTGTTGACAAGGTGGTGAGATAAAAGAACGCATGAAATATCAGGATTTAGAATTCCTACATCAGAAAATGGTACATCAGCAATATTGTTCGCTGTCCCTTTCAATGAATTCTCATCAATTATTATTGGATGTGTAATGAGTTGAACAGGTGAACCATGACCAACTTTTGTAATATCATACCTTTTTCCAACTGCAAAGATAAAAAAAAAAGCGAGCGAAAGCACGCATAAGCAAAGTTATCGAAGATTGTAAATCATGGATTAAATGACGGGACATTGAAATAATCGGATTATCCTAAGATATTGAGTTT